CTCTCTCTCTCTCTCTCTCTCTCTCTCTCTCTCTCTCTCTCTCTCTCTCTCTCTCTCTCTCTCTCTCTCTCTCTCTCTCTCTCTCTCTCGGTTTTGCCTCTTGAACTTACCGTGTTCTGAGATTATATTTTATAGTATTATAGTTTTAGGAGCTAAATCGTTTTTCGTCAGAGAAAAATGGCCGAGGTCTGTTCCTATATTGATTTCTCCTCTGAGCTCAGAGATGTTTGGTAGAAGCAGGGCTGGCTTTCCCTGTGAGACTCGCGCTGTGCCCCTAGGGCCGGGAGACGTCCGAGGGGAGCTAGGGGAGGATCGGGTGATGGCTGAAAGAGAGGTGAGTCCTGGGCTAGCCGGAGCCTTCCGAGCTGCTGACGGAAGGGTCTCTAGGCGGCGCTGGAGAGCAGGGTGAAGCGACTGTAGGCAAGGGAACTAAGAAGCTTGTACACAGCTCTCAGGAAATGCCTGGGTGTCTCTGATGCCAAGCGCTGAGGTCATCGCCAGCCTCCAGCCAGCCCCTGCTTTTGTGACCTGAGTGTGACCCATCCCCAAACTCTTCCATTCCATCCCGAAAGGCAAAATTCCGAGGATATTTTCTCTTTCATCCCCGCATCCGCAACACACTTAGGACTTGTCCCCTTTCCCTTGTGCCCACAAGACTGGAGAACATCGTTTATTTATTTGGGAGTCCTCTGGTCACATCTTAGCTGGTACGTACAGGCAGTGACGCACAGGGTCCTTCCCCCTCTTTAAGTCTGGTGAGAAGCAGATATAAGAGGAATTAAGATACACGTGCCGGATGCTTTGGAAGCTGCCCTAGGGACTTTCCTAGAGCTCACGGCATCTTCACAACAAACGGGCGTTGGAGGTCAGTCTTGAGACAAATGCAGCAAGCAGGTAGAAAGAAATAAGACACATGGTGCACGGAGGGAGGTCAGAGGACAACTTTCAGGAGGAACTGGTTCTCTCCTTTTACTGTAGGGGTTCCTGGGAGTGAACCCAGGTCACCAGGCCTAATGACAAGCACCTCTACCCACTGTGCCATCTTGCCAGTACACTCTTTGCTATTTTTCAGTTAATTTTATTTTTATTAATCCTTTGTGTGCCTGCATGTATGTCTTTGCACCATGTGCATTCTTGGTGCCACAGAGTCCAAAAGAAGGTACTAGACCTCCTGGAACTGGAGTTACAGACAGTTGTAAGCCAATATATGGGTGCTGAGACCTGAACTGGGGTCCTCTAGAAGAGCAGTCAGTGTTTTGAACTGCTGAGCCATCTCTCCAGCCTCTCTGCTAGTTTTGAAATGGAGATAAGGTGAGAGGGTAGAGGGGCAGCTCTGTGGGTTTCTAGAAGCACAGTGTGGCCCGATGCCACACAGATTCCCATAGGTACCGGTTTCCTGTGGCTGCTGTAATAATCACCAGTGGCTTTAAACCAAACAAATGTATTGTTTTTGTCTTGGGGTTTCTATGGCTGGGAAGAGACACCATGAGCACGGCAACTCTTAGAGGGAACGTTTAATTGGGGTGGCTCGCTTACAGTTTCAGAGGTTCAGTCCAGTATCATCAGGGCAGGGAACATGATAGTGCACAGGCAGACATGGTGCTGGAGCTAACAATCCATACATCTTGACATAGAGGCAACAGGAAGTTGACTAACAGTCACACTGAGGGAAGCTTGAGCAAAAGAGACCTCAAAGTCCACCCCCACAGTGACACACTTCCTCCAACAAGGCCACACCTCCTAATAATGCCACTCCTTTTGGGGACCATTCTCTTTCAAACCACCAGTCTTGCAGTTCTGTAGGGCAGATATCTGAAATGGGTTTTATTTGACTATAACCAAAGTATCCATAGATCTGTATTTATTCTTCAGACAAGAGGAGAATCCATTTCTTGGTTTTTCCAGTTTCTAGAGGCCCCCTGTCTTTTTTTTTTTTTTTTTTTTTTTTTT